TTCTCCTTTTCTTCTGTATATTGACTGACACTGGAGCTTCCAGAGCACAATAAAGATGCTTTTTTTATACACTCCCCTGTCTGTCTCTCTTTATTTCTTTGGTAAATGATTAGTTAGGGAAGCAGTATGGTCGTTTTAGTACAAAGCTTTGTTTCTTTGGTAAGAAACCTTCCAAGTGACTATCAAGTTTAATTCTCTACTTGTTTCCTGGATTGTAGAGAGACACCCTAGAGTTACACTCATAACAATGCTCATAAAAGTGTTCTGGGTTAGTTTATTTCATAAAGGTAAATAGAAAGAGAGATAAGAAATTAAAACTAGAAAGCCGATAGTGACTATGAGAGACCTCCAAGTCAGGCCTGTAGCGAGGGGGGTGGGGTTTAGGGGTTCAACCCCCCCCCCCCCGAAATGTTCAGATTTTTTAAAAAACCTGGTTTACTCATGAATTTTAACTGGTTAACCAAATCCCCATGCTAAGTCTATGAGATGCAAAAAATTAAGAGTCCTTCCAGAACTGCAAGCACTATCTCAAGCAAATATTGACAATTTATTCACACTGTCATTACTTGCAGCAATAGCCGATGTAGTGAAGCAACCAAGTTGGGGGGGGGGGTGTTGAATGCTCTCATTAAGGAGGCCAGACTTGGTGGAGGTGGTTGACAGGGGCGGAGCTGCAGGCTATTGAAGGCTGCTCAGCCCCCTGCTGTGCTCTTTGCTTCAGCGTGAGCTAGGAAGCAGGTTTCAACACCCCCCCCTCGTGAAACTTTCACCCCCACCAGAAAAATTTCAACCCCTCCCGAAATATTTTTCTGGCTACAGCCCTGTCAGCAGTCATGCTTACTTTTTGTAAACTTGAGTTGAGGGCTTCTTTGATTGAATTTATCTGCATGTATAAATGAAAATCTGCTTACTGTAGTGTTTTGAACATTGAACTATAACTCAATGTTATAAAGGAGACAAGATTTGGTTGCCTTTTCAGTCACTGGGTGGCTTTGGGTGAGTTGCATACTCCAAACCCCAGAAAACCACATGATAGCTTTGCCTTAGAGCAGTGGTTCCCTAACCTGTGGGCCATGAGACCTAAAATATGGTCCGCAGCTCTAGATTATTAAATATGGTTTTCTGTGAGTGAGCAGATGGTGACTACTGAATGGCATATGTTATATATCAGAAACTAGAGCTGATGTGGTCTATCCGATGCAATTTTCTGAATCGGCACCCCAAATAACCAAACCGAATCTAAAGTTGACCAAAAACTGATTCATAACCCTTTTGGTACTAATATTGGAGAGTGGTCCCAGGTCAAAGTGATCCCTGGTCAAATGGTCCCTGGTCAAAAAAAAAGTTAGGGAACCACTGCTTTAGGATCATCATAAGTCAGAAATGACTTGGACACACAATGCCATTAAAAATAACTGTACAAATAAGAGAGAGAAGAAATGTGAAGATATGATAAAAAGAGAAAGGTGTTAATGGCTGCGATACTTCCTTGGAGGCAATAGGTTTTGCCATGCCCTTGGCTTTCCTATGGTGCATACTTGACACAGTGCAATGGAAATCACTGTTGGAAAGTCAGTTAAAAAGGATAGCACTAACTTATTTAGGCGATCCCTCATTCTCCTAGTATGATAGAATCAAAGAGTTGGAAGAGACCTCATGGGCCATCCAGTCCAACCCCCTGCCAAGAAGCAGGAATATTGCATTCAAATCACCCCTGACAGATGGCCATCCAGCCTCTGTTTAAAAGCTTCCAAAGAAGGAGCCTCCACCACACTCCGGGGCAGAGAGTTCCACTGCTGAACAGCTCTCACAGTCAGGAAGTTCTTCCTCATGTTCAGATGGAATCTTCTTTCTTGTAGTTTGAAGCCATTGTTCCGTGTCCTAGTCTCCAGGGCAGCAGAAAACAAGCTTGCTCCCTCCTCCCTGTGACTTCCTCTCACATATTTATATATGGCTATCATATATCCTCTCATTCTTCTCTTCTTCAGGCTAAACATGCCCAGCTCCTTTAGCCGCTCTTCATAGGGCTTGTTCTCAAGACCCTTGATCATTTTAGTCACCCTCCTCTGGACAAAAACTGATGGCCTTCCAAGTTTTTGGAAGATGCCTATGTATGAGTTTTATTTTAATGTGTGGAGGTCAGTGCACAGCCGATCAAGACACAGTCTTCACAGAATGAGGGTCCCAACCAGTGGTGTAGTTAACACGGCGGCAATGGCTTCTCAATCTGTTACAGCCTTCTTCCGCCTTCACAGCCGTTGTAACATGTACCATGTTACCTTCTGCCTGATCCGTCAATTAGGTCTTTGGATTGTGCTTGGTCTGGAACCTCCCCTGCAGCTCCCCTGGGAGTGCATGACTCTGCTGGTTATGCATTGAGGTTCATTGGAATATGTAAGCCCCCTCACCACAACACCACAACAAGGTGACAATCCATCGAGGGAGCTATATCCCTCATATACTGTAAAGGGGTAGTTGTGTATGTTTGCAGCCAAAAGGACAAACAGAACTACAGTACTGTAAAGACTGAATGTTTTTAGTGTGGTATAAGCTTTCAGCTAGGAGCCTATTTCAAAAGGGTTACCATTTTTGACCATTTAAAACCCTTTTCTCTAGCTATAGATAAAGAGCCGTCGATAGGGAGGAATGGGGAAGTGCTACATGTGTAATCGAATCAACAGGAGCCATGGCCACCCTGTCTTCATAAAGAAAAGTATTTTAATACTCTTTTTAACTCCAGTCTTACTTCATGTAAAAAAAATTATAGTGGCTATTAATTCATGTAAACCATGGAATAAATACCTTGATCTCTTGGTTTGAGATGGTCTGTTGCTGTTTTCTAAAACTACATACGCAAAGAGGGAGAGGATTTGTAATCCATCTCCGTCATTGTCACAGAGCAGTATTTGCCTATGACTTGATACTTGAATTGAAAAAGTCTAGAGCAGTGGTTCCCAACCTTTCTTTTGGCCATGCTCCACCTAAGCACCTCTAATATCCTCACCCCCCCCCCCCCCCCCCCCATTAAATATAACACTATGTAACACAATATTGTTCAATGTATTGTCGAAGGCTTTCATGGCCGGAATCACTGGGTTGTTGTAGGTTTTTTTCTGGCTATATGGCCATGTTCTAGAGGCATTTTCTCCTGACGTTCTGCCTGCATCTATGGCAAGCATCCTCAGAGGTAGTGAGCACTACCTCTCTGAGGATGCTTGCCATAGATGCAGGTGAAACGTCAGGAGAAAATGCCTCTAGAACAGTGGTTCTCAACCTGTGGGTCCCCAGATGTTTTGGCCTTCAACTCCCAGAAATCCTAACAGTTGGTAAACTGGCTGGGATTTCTGGGAGAGAACCACTGCTCTAGAACATGGCCATATAGCCCAAAAAAACCTACAACAACCCACAATTTTTGTTCCTGGGCTTAAATATCATAATTACTTCTATCATAAAAACATGGAAAGTAAGTATATTAAACTGCAAAAACTGTGTTTTTGCGGGACATCCTGCAGCACATTTTGCTATAGTTTTTCAATTAATATTCATAGAGTCTCAACCAATTCAACCTAGTTTGTGGCAGCACAAAAACAAAGTTTCTGGAGTATAACAATCACTTTCAAAGTAACTACCACACATTTAAATAGGAAATAACACTTTCAAAGCAGGAACATTTTTTTCCCAATTTTTGTTACATAATATAATTTTTAATACTCAAAAAGTTAACTCTTACTCACATGAAGCCTAAAAGGCCATTAATTTGGTCTAAACAAGCTTCCAAAGGACACGGCATTTTTGTGTGCTATTTTGTAAGCCACCCTGAGTCCCTATGGGTGGTGGTGGTGGTGGTGTATAAATAAAGTTTTATTATTATTTAACTATTAATAATTTTATTGTGGCTGATTTTTTAAAATTATTTTTCCATACAAATTACAAAATATTGACTTACCTGTGAAAGTAATAATCGTATTTTGGATTTCCCCCAATTTCTTGCTGTATTCATAAGAAGAACAAAATACATTTTTATATATTTTCATAGAATCATAGAATAGAGTTGGAAAAGACCACATGGATGATGCAGGAAAAGCACAATCAAAACACCCCTGACAGATGACAATCCAGCCTGTTTAAAAGCTTCCGAGGAAGGAGCTTCCACCACACTCCGAGGCAGAGAGTTCCACTGCTGAACATCTGTTAGTCAGGAAGTTTTTCTAATGAAGTGGAATCTCCTTTCCTGTAGTTTGAAGCCATCGTTATGAGCTTTGATTGTGTTTTTCCTGCATGGAGGGGCTGGACTAAATGGCCTATGCGGTCTCTTCCAATTCTATAATTCTTAGGCAAGTCACATTCTCTCAGCTTCAGAGAAAAGCAAAATATATTTATATCCCACTTTTATCTATCAATTGAGACACAAAAGCAAAACACTTGAAATAGTATTGTGAAAAAAACACCAAATGCTTTAGAGTGCATTTACACCAGGCACGGGCAAACTTTGGCCTTCCTCCAGGTGTTTTGGACTTCAACTCCCACAATTCCTAACACCCTACCGGCTGTTAGGAATTGTGGGAGTTGAAGTCCAAAACACCTGGAGGAAGGCCGAAGTCTGCCCGTGCCTTATCTACACTGTACACTTGCAGTTTGGCATCACTTTAACTGCCTTGGAATCCCTGGGAGATGCAGTTTTCCAAGGTCATTAGATTTCTCTGCCAAAGAAACTGAAAACCACTAAACTGAAAACCCAAGAGTCCCATTCTATTGAGCCCTGGAGGTTAAAGGGAGGTCAAACTGCGTTGATTTTATAGTGTGGGTGCCCTCCTTGTAAAACTACAACTCTCAGGATCCCACAGCGTTGAGCCAAGGCAGTTCCAAGGGTATCTCACTGCATCCATTCATTCTCCAACGCAGAGGATACAATCTAGTGGCAACGTTGACGCACCCGGGCCAAAGGGGGCGCCTGTTTCGAAGCGGGCCGGAAATCGTGCCTGTCCGCTCTAGCCCACCTTGCCGCTCTTCTATCGCGGGGTCGGGCATCGTGAGGTCACTTCCTCGAGGATCCAAGATGGCGAACCGCGCGCTGCTGGTGGCCCGTGGAGGGCTGGGCAGCGTGATTGGTGAGTGAGTGAGGAGGACTCTGGTGCAAAGGGGAAGGGAACAGGTGAGGCGGCTCCAAAGGGCGGGCTTCGGGGGCAAAGAAAGCGCCTTCGGGGCCTCTTTCCTGTTGTGGATGCTTCACCTACGAGCCATGACCTTTTGCGTTGCTCTTCGGTGCATTTCGCCGCCTGCCTCTTGATTGTTCGGGGAAGCAGCCAATGGCGAGGCGAGGAGGCAGAAAAGGCGGGACCTTCTCTCTAAACCAGGCATGGGCCAACTTGGGCCTTCCAGGTGTTTTGGACTCCGACTCCCACAATTCTTAACAGCCTCAGGCCCTGAAAGGAGTTGTGGGAGTTGGAGTCCAAAACACCTGGAAGGCCCAAGTTGGCCCATGCCTCCTATAAAGGAGCTAGATAAGAACCTGAAGGTTCAAGCTGCCTTAATAACCTATCTATAAGTTATATCTGTAGTGTATCCATTCTCTTACCTAGTGTTGATAAACACCTCCGATCTTTGTGATGTGCCTCATGTTTTCTCGAAGTAGGCCAGGCGATTATGTCTGTGCCATTGTGTGTTTACTGTAGTGCCATAAAGCACTGTGCAATAACATGGCCTGGGGTATTTATTTCTTTATCTATCTATCGTGTCAGGGGCAGACCAAACAGTTGCATTGCATTTTTAACAAACAAACAGAACACAAAGTTTGCAAGCTTGGTAGTTTAAATGTCCAGTATCTGGCCACTTGGGGTGCCTCTGGTGTTGCCGCAAGGAGGTCCTCCATTGTGCATGTGGCAGGGCTCAGGGTGCATTGCAGCAGGTGGTCAGTGGTTTGCTCTTCTCCACACTTGCATGTTGTGGATTCCACTTTGTGGCCCCATTTCTTGAGGTTAGCTCTGCATCTCGTGGTGCCAAAGCGCAGTCTGTTCAGCGCCTTCCAAGTCCCCCAGTTTTCTGAGTGCCCAGGGGGGAGTCTCTCATTTGGTATCAGCCATTGGTTGAGGCTCTGGGTTTGAGCCTGCCACTTTTGGACTCTCGCTTGCTGAGGTGTTCCAGCGAGTGTCTCTGTAGATCTTAGAAAACTATTTCTTGATTTAAGTTGTTGACATGCTGGCTGATATCCAAACGGGATGAGCTGGAGATGTCACTGCCTTGGTCCTTTCACTATTGGTTGCTACATCCCGGCGGATGTCAGGTGATGCAATATCAGCTAAACAGTGTAATTATATGTGCTATTACAGGGGTCCTCAAACTTTTTAAACAGAGGGCCAGGTCATAGTCCCTCAAACTGTTGGAGGGCCAGATTATAATTTGAAAAAAGCATGAATTAATTCCTATGCACACTGAACATATCTTATTTGTAGTGTAAAAACCACTTATAAATCATACAGTAATTAAAATGAAGAACAATTTTAACAAATATAAACTTACTAGTATTTCAATGGGAAGCGTGGGCCGGCTTTTGACTGATGAAATAGGATTGTTGTTGTTGTGTGCTTTCAAGTCATAACAGACTTAGGTTGACCCTAAGCAAGGGCCAGCTAAAATAACCTTGGAGGGGCGCATTCGGCCCTCTGGCCTTAGTTTGAGGACCCCTGCGTTATTACATACAACACAATAGCCCACTTGTACACAGAAATAAAAATAAATAAATTCAACCAATAATGTGACTGGTGAAACTTATTATACAGTTCCAAATCATAGCATTCACAAAGCAATATTATATGCGTTTGGTACAGTCACTCAAAAAAGTATCAACGCTGTATGTTCTTGCGTCGAGTAAACTTAAATCTGTAGTCCACGACCGGTTTCGGCCTCACTCCAGGCCTTCCTCTGGTGGACTAAAATTATATATATATCAATATTTACTACAAATAAATTCATAGACAATCATGTACATAAACACATATAAAGATACATATAAGAATACTAACAGTTTTATGAACTTGATATTTATCATATACATCAATGTTTGTTGTAAATATATCCATTCAGCATCCTATATTTCAACATGTTTAAAGATACTCACAAGATTATAAACTTGGTACTTGTTCTCCTTAGAAATACAGGTTTTTATGTTTTTCTTTCTGTGTATGAGTGGGCTATTGTGTTATATGTATCAACTCAGGAACCCATTCATGTTATATGCGTTATACCAGTCCGGTTGCAACATGGATGATCAATATTTTTTTTGCTCCTTCAAGTAGAGACAAATGCTATTTACTTATTCATCATATCAGGAGCGAACTAAGGGCACAGTTGTGATGTATTTAAAAACACAAAGTCTAAAAACTTGGCATTGTATTAAATGTCCATTGATGGACATGAGAGAAGCCTCCCCGCAGGATTTCAACACATCCGGGCGTCCCCTCAGCAACATGTTTGTAGATGGCTGATTCTCTCACAACAGAAGCGACTTGCAGCATGTTCAATGCAACAACATATTTTAAAGACTTCTAAGCGTTTGTAGACAAAAGGGAAAGGGCAGGAAAGAAGACTTGGAAACTGTTCACACTGCAGAATTGCAGGCAGTCTCAGAGTTACAAACATCCAGATTATTATTACTTCGTGTCGAGCGATTTGAGAAACTGCAAGTCGCTCCTGCTGTGAGAGAATTGGCTGACTGCAAGGACGTTGCCCAGGGGATGCCCAGATGTTTTACCATCCTGTGGGAGGCTTCTCCCATGTCCCTGCATGAGAAGCTGGAACTGACAGACGGGAGCTTATTGTCGGAAATATTGAAAATTAACTGGGTAGTTTTGATTATAAAGGTGTGAGTCAAGCACCGAAAGAGTTAGTAGGCCAAAGCCTGTTAGTGGGCCAAAGCTAGCATCGCCCTGAGGACCATGAGTAGACCAAAGCCTGTATTAGTTTGCCTCAGTGAGGGAACTCCTCAGTCTGTGTGAGGAGGTTCTCTGTGAGTTAGGCCTCACAGTATGAGGAAGGCTTGATATAAAAAGGCCTGGTGTGTGAGGAGCTTCGGTGAAAGAAGCCCCAGGTTGAAGGCTGCTGTGATTTAAGCTACTATGTATTAGTTTTGGAAACCTTATTCTTGTAAATAGTGTAACGATATTTTACTACTAAGAAAAGTCTATTATGGAGGATATAAAATCGGTTTGTGTTTTTTGTTCTTTTGGTTACTTTGGGGTACTGGTGCTGGGTCACGCTGCTGCTGATAAGTTACTCTGCTGTACATTTATGAGGAGGGTCTTTTGTCAACAAGCCCACTTGCTCAACACTCACCCCACTTCCCGGATTCGATCTGCCGACCTTTCAGTCAGCAGTCCTGCCGGCACATGGGTTTAACCCATTGTGCCACTGGGAAAAATATATTTATTTATACCATGCTTTATTCTCCCCAAAGGGGACTCAAAGTGGCTTGGCAGGAAGCGAGAGGAATCTGCCCCTCGGAAGAGAAATTCACTCCTGGAAGAGTTTTCATGGGGAAAAGGAGTCTCCATTGAAGTTTTCTCACCAATCCTTGTTTCCACAACAAGCCATTTTTTTCAAAATCTAATTATCACAGGGACAGTACGTGAGGTGAAATCTTCTGAACAAGGGCACAGGTAGCAAAACAAATTTGTATCCAAAGTTAAAACATATAACCCTGTTCTTACTTACATACAAATTCAACTTAAAAACAAATCTACAGAACCTATTTTGTTTGTATCTTGGGGGCTGCCTGTATAGCAGTTTGATACTACTTTTAACTGCCATATAGCTCCATCCTGTGGGATTCTGGATTTGTAGTTTGTTGTGGGGTAAAGAAAGGTCAATATGACAGAACTTCAAATCCTAGAATTCAATAGCATTGAGCCATAGCAGTTAATATTTTATCAAACTGCTGTAATTTTTTTAGTGAAGATACAGGCTTGAATGTCCAAAGGGTATGCATTTATTACAAAGTGCTGCACTTAATTGAAGGAGACCATTACAATGACAGAAGAGCTCTATCATGGTAGTAAGTTCTTTTCCATTGTGTGTTGCAGGCTTGCATGGTTGCCACTCCCGTCTCCTTCAAGGTGTTTTAACCAAGGTAAGAAAAACTTTGGTTTGGAGTAGGATTTAACCTGTATTTTGCTTATGGGTTCAAAGGGCAAATGTTTGCAAATGTCTCTGTTTTGTCCTTAGCTGTCTCTGCCTTGCACAGCCTTCTATGGGCAAACTTTCCTCGTGCGAAGTTTTGCAGTCGAAGCAAAGAAAGTATACGTACGGGACAAACCCCATGTCAATGTTGGGACCATTGGGCACGTGGACCACGGCAAGACAACGTTAACAGCAGCTATCACTAAAAGTGAGGCCAAGGGGCAATTGGGAATTTTATTTTGTTCTTTTGGCATTTGGGTAATTAGAAGAAAACCAAAAAGAGATTGGTAGAGAACTGATGTGGCTTTGCAGTCAGTCCTGGCTTTAATTCTCTAGAGCATTATTAGATAACTTTTCTTTCTGTAATGGGCTGTGAATCATAGGGGGGAAATGTAAAGTTGTTGGAACTTCCAGCAGAAGGGGCACAATTTGAATGTAAATAGAGTTTGTTGCAGATTTAAACTCTCACATTGAAAAGACTTTCCAAAACATCCCACATCCTGGAGATTGGGCTGTCCCATTACATTCTGTCAGTACGATCCGAGGTCTCAGACTTGGTCTTGGGTCTGGGTTTCATATCAATCTAAGGACTCCAACTTTCCTAGAACCAAGTGGCTTAACTTCCAGCTCCTTCACATCCATTCAAAACTCCCAGATGAAAGATAGGCAACCAAAGGTTGGTCCCAGGTTCGTTCCCTGTTCCTGCATGGCCCCAATCTTGTCTGCCTTCTGTTAAACTGGACATAAGCAAAGAACTCCTGAGTCCTAAATCCTTTTGTGGCTGGAAATACTAGAGGTGTTTGGGCAGAGCTTTTTTTGTGCCATGCCCCTCACCTGATCCCTCCTTGCCTCGAACAAGTCAAGTCATAATGAAATTACTTGAAGTGTCTGAATTTTAGACTATTCCCTAGAGTCTTCCCACCAGCTATGATAACTATGTACCTTTTCCAGGCTTGAGAAAGGTCAGATTTTGTTAGTGTCACTGTTTAGATTGGAGACAAGGGTGTCCAGCAATGGATCCCTCAGTCCTTGCTTAGTTGAAAGTGCCAACTGAGAAGACATTAGAGTAAACTTTCATCCTTGAAAACTCAAGAAGGCTTTCATATGATTCTTCTGTTCCTTCCAGTTCTGTCTGAGGCTGGAGCTGCTAAGTTTAAAAAATACGAGGAAATTGATAATGCACCAGAAGAGAAGAATCGTGGCATCACAATCAATGCCTCCCACGTGGAGTATTCAACACCCAACCGCCATTACGCCCATACAGATTGTCCAGGCCATGCTGACTATGTCAAGGTGTGTGAGAGAAGATGGGATCCAATAAAACCCTTGAAATTCAATATTCATTGCCTCAAATCCTTTCCAGAAGGGGTCTGCCACTGATAATTCAGTATTGCATTTGAATCTTTGCTGCTGCTGTTTCTTCCATATTGTGTTTAAATCAAGAAATATTGGGAAGCCTTTTTAAATACTTCCCTTGTGGTAGACCTATCCATGCAAACAAGTAGACCTATCCAGGAAAACAAATTGAGGAGTTGATTTGGAGAGCTGTGGTTCACATTTGAGTGACGTTCTCCTTGTGTCTTCTCCTTAGAACATGATCACAGGGACAGCACCACTGGATGGCTGTATTCTCGTGGTGGCAGCAACAGATGGCCAGATGCCACAGACGAGGGAGCACCTTCTGCTTGCTAAACAGGTGATATGGGACTAGAATGGAGATAGAGTGATCTGAAACATCCTTTTGAGAATATATGGGGTATCACTTTAATACGCAGAAGCAATACCCTGGAAACACAGATGGTGCAAACACAGGTCTCACCCTTGTTTTCCTCATACCAGATAGGAGTGAAGTATGTGGTGGTGTACATCAACAAAGCTGATGCAGTCGATGATTCAGAGATGTTGGACTTGGTGGAGCTGGAGATCCGTGAGCTGCTCACAGAATTTGGCTATGATGGGGAGAAAACTCCTGTTATTGTGGGCTCTGCTCTGTGTGCTTTGGAGGTCAGTGGGGGGTCTGGACAGGGGTGGTTGTAGCCTCATTTCCCATGAAATCTTTCCTTTAATTGTTGTGTGATCTCCCATTGTTTGCAGCAACGGAATCCTGAACTGGGCTTGAATTCAATCATGAAGCTACTGGATGCAGTAGATACATACATCCCTCTGCCACAGCGTGAGCTTGACAAGCCTTTCCTGCTCCCCATAGAGCATGTTTACTCCATACCAGGTACTTATAAGATGGCTACCCTGTACAGAGACAGAATGTAGGTAATTAGGGATCCAGGGTAGTGGGTGGCAATTCTGTATCCATGGCTTATTTGGAGAGCAGTTCTGGTCATGTTCTCAGTGTTATATAGGGACTTCAGAAATGTACGTTTTAACTTCTTCTGCATGAGGCTCGCTAGGTCAACTTGGGCAGTCACATTGACCATGATTTACTTCACAAGGTAATTGCAAGGAAAAGGGGAAAGATGGAATATATAGACTGAGAATCTGCATCATCAGACATAACTGCAATGACAGTGTAGTTATGTCTTTGTTATGTCTGACAATGATGTCTCCCCAAAAGTGCCTTTTCAGCCTGCCAGCATTTACATCACAGGGCCTCCAAGCTTTTGCAGATCATGTGATGGGAAACATCTCCTGCAGTGTTCTGGAATGTGTTTAGAATAAGCAAATAGACCCATTAGGATCTTGCTACAACTGCTTGTCTCAAAGCACCCAAGTCCTACAGACATAATTATCCCAATGCCCTGATCTGCATTGCCCCAGAAACCCTTTACTTGGGGGGGGTGGGGGGGGGATACCAGGCTGAAAAGGTAGGTGTTTGGGGTTATAGTTGTTCATTAAGGACTATAAAAGGGGTCCTTAGCAGTTACGAGGTCCAACTTACACTCTTATAACTGCTGAACAGAATGCCATCAGTAATAGGTATAGTAGCACAATTTATCTTACCTATTCCAGGACGAGGCACTGTGGTGACAGGTACTCTTGAACGTGGCATTGTCAAGAAAGGAGATGAATGTGAATTTCTGGGCCACAGTCGGCATGTACGTTCTGTGGTGACAGGTAAGTTTTGTTCGTTTCCCACAAGCAATCTTTACCTCCCAGTCCTAACCTTGATTTCCCTATGAAGTGACTGAACCACATACTTGGGACCACTGAGGTGGTCATAATTTTAAAAAAGTGGTAAAAGTCAAAGCTGTGGGGATGGAAGGGCTGGAGGCACTTTGCAAAGAGTAATAGCACTCCATTGGCTTCAGGTGTAGAGATGTTCCACAAACAACTGGAGCGGGCAGAGGCTGGTGACAATTTGGGTGCTTTGGTGCGAGGATTGAAACGAGAGGAAATACGGCGTGGGATGGTTATGTGCAAGCCAGGTTCCATTCAGCCACACCAGAAAGTTGAGGCTCAGGTAAGCAGATGCAGGTGAATGAAAGTTCGAGAACAAGAAATGGTACTGATGGGAAGTTTTTGTCTTAAGAGAGAAATGTGGCTTATTTTAAATTGCTTTTAGAGTATTTGTTGTAATGTTTATTTAGGTTTTAGTTAACTATATCTTGTTGGATTTTGTTTTATTTTTCATCACAATGCTTAGTTCTTTGTAAGCTCACTGTTATTACTGTTGCTTTATTGTGTATTATTTAGATACTTTTGTACTCACCTGAGGCATTGAATGCTTGCCTTTTTATGTGTGTAAACCACCCTGAGTCGCTTTGGGGAGAGAGGGCGGTCTAGAAATAAAGTTGTTGATATTATCATCATCATCTCACCTGTGAAAGCTAGTGACTGTCCTGAAGGTTTTCATTGGACATTCACAGGCTTTTCTAATGCTGCTAAAAAAACCCCATAGCTTTTCTATGCTGTACTTTTTCAACCAAACAAGACAAGACACTTTTTTTTTCCTAGGTGTATATCTTGAGTAAAGACGAAGGTGGTCGTCATAAGCCTTTTGTGTCTAACTTCACGCCTGTCATGTTTTCTCTGACATGGGATATGGCCTGCCGTATAGAATTGCCTGCAGGAAAGGTGTGTATCCTTTTCTAGTTCTTGCTTTAAACAAGTTGACAGCAAGTGGAAAATATGTGAGCCCCCAATGGTTTCTGCAGCTCACTGGAGTTGAACTGTTTGTTCTTGCTCTGCATTAGCTTGTCCACCATTACAAACACTTCACGCCCCCCGACATGGAATAATCATTTTTAGTAAAACTAAGCTATATACACCTTGCATACTTTTCATGGGGTCTGGATTCTACAAAAACGCTGAGACATGAAGCAATTACATCCCTACCATTATTATCTAAAGTTGGGATGGCTGTGGCTTGCAGTACTCCACATACTGTTAGTAAACAAAACCAGAGCTGGCATTGCACCCCAATGTTAGTTGAAGGAACCAGACAATTTTCATCCTTGTCTCAAAGCTTTTAGTATTTTTTTCATTTGTCTGATATTTCTGATAACAGAATAGGTATGATCCTGCTTTTCCTCTCTCCCAAAAGGAAATGGTGATGCCAGGTGAGGACACTTCCCTTTTGCTAATACTGCGGCAGCCCATGGTCTTGGAGGAGGGGCAGCGATTCACACTGCGAGATGGAAGTAAAACCATTGGCACTGGCGTGGTCACAAAAACGCTTCCACTTGCTCCAGGCGATGAAGAAAAGTGGGCTTCTTAAAGTGCTCTATGTGGCGATTTCCATTGACGTGCCAGGTGGACTTTCAAAGCTGGGCTTGTAAATTGTTGTGCAAAGGATTGCATCAAAATGAGTTGATGGCTGCTTCCTCAAGAACACGCTTGCCCTTCTGGTGAAATGGTATCTCTGCAAATGGTTAGCCCTTCAGTCTTACCAGGAAGGAGAGAAGACACTGAATTAATGTGTTTCATGCAATAGTGGGTTGGAGAGGAGTTGGTTAAATAAAAGACTACAAAGCTGACCTAGAGTACTGCCATGATTTAAGGGGTAGCTAACACTTTTTGATCCTTTCAGAGTCCCACTCTATCCTGCTAGGTCACACATTACATTACGTATTGAGTGGATACAGGCCAGCTGATGGTTATACTTAAAAAGTGTTGCAGTTACTGCCATATAATCAAAATTAAGCCCATATAGAGAACCTAAATATAAGACACTAGAAACCTTGGAAGATCTGCGGAACAGCCCTGTGGATCTTAAGGCTCAGAAAAATCATGGAGTCCAAAACACTGCCAGTAAGGTTTTCTTTGAAGACTGCATTATGGGGATCAAAGTTAATTTTTTGCCTTGTTTGACAGTGTTTTATTTGTAGGATTTGCACTGCCCTGGAAGTTTTGGTAAGTTGTGTAAACATGTCAGCCATGTTTGCCCCTTCAGAACCTGGTCATATTTTATACTTGGCTTATTAAATGGCAGTACAAATACGACTCATCTACTCCTTGCCTGAGCTACCGAGTAACTGTCACTAGGATACCGAACATTTTATTTCTTTCGTATCAGGAACGACTTGAGAAACTGCAAGTCCCTTCTCGTGTGAGAACTGGCTGTCTGCAAGGACGTTGCCCAGGGGGCGCCCAGATGTTTTACCTTCCTGTGGGAGACTTCTCTCATGTCTCCATATGAGAAGCTGGAGCTGACAGATGGAAGCTCACCCTGCTCCCCGGATTAGAACTGCTGACTTTTTGGTCAGCAGTCCTGCCAGCACAAGGGTTTAACCCATTGCGTCACCTGGGGCTCCTATTTCTAAAGAAACTAAGCTGGAAAGTATATGACCCCCAAGGGAGGAAACATGTAGAAAGGATTTAACAAAACTTCTCTTAGACAGTTCAAAGGCCTGCATAATTCCTTCACTGTGCAATAATTTTAAGTTTTTTCTTAGATTTACAGACTTCAGTTGTGTCCTAAGATGAGCTAACAAAAGCCCATAACCCAAGTCATAAAGTAACCTGTAGTTTTTCTGCACAAAACCCAATTTTTGTATAAAAATGTTTTCCCCACATTTTTAAAACATAGAATAAATCTGTTTGGCAAAGATTCTTTTATATCCAGGTTTCTCCTCATAATAGTTTCCCCACATTTGAGAAAGCCATTTTTGGATTTGCCCAAGTAATGTTCTACTTTTCCCCTCCATAACAGCCTTTAGAAACATGCAAGTATAAGCAGAGGCTCTTGCCAAAGCTGTCCTGGGGGGCAAGGCCCCAATATGATATAGATACATTGTGCTAAGAAACAACACACTGATAGCCAAGTCAAAGTCTTCCTCATGTAATATTTTCAATTGCAAAAATTAAAATTCTGTTGTGCAGTGTTTAAAATAACACTTTTGACCATAGGGTGTTTTGCTTACAAATAGGTGGCTTCAGCATTTAGAGCAGGCATGAGCAAACTTTGGCCCTCCAGGTGTTTTGGACTCCCAACTACCACAATTCCGAATTGTGGGAGTTGAAGTCCAAAACACCTGGAAGGCCAAACTGCCCATGCTTGATTTAGAGCCACTGTTTTTAGACTCACCCAGTTTGTACCTCACCTGGTGATTGGCTAGTTTAGTAGGGAATGTACAAAGTAGCAACTCCAGAACACGAAATTTCAATGGCCTATCAGTACAGTCTCAAATCTAGATGAGCTACAAACTGGAGAATGGACAGCATCTTGCCCCACCAGAATTTGGCCAAACCACCAATTAAAATGGAATGAAAAGATGCCTATTAGAAACCGGCCCTCTTCCACACAGTCATCCCAAGCCCAACATTAGTTAGTTTAAAATTTTATTGGTTTTTTTTAACTTTTTAAATATTTTATTTAATAAAAAGTCAAGGTTTGTCCATCTGGTCATGTCCTTGTCAAGTTAATGTGGGAAAGTGGCATTTGCTCTAAGAGCCCGAATGGAGTCATAAATAACAGAAAAGAAACTCTGCCCTTCTCCAGGCAAGGGGGGAGGACCCTGCTCCGTCCCGCTGGCTGACAGCATCCCAAGTGGGCTTCATTAAACCAACGGAAAGGAAGGTGCTTGGCGAGGGGGGGCGGGCCAGGCCAGACGGCACCCCTCCAGGGGCCTCTACCATGGGCATGAGGGCTGGCCCAGGCTTTGGGCCAGCCACTGAGCCAAGGCTGGCTAGGGTCTCAGGTCACAGGGAGAAGCGTGGACATCAGTTCCCAGGGGTGTGGAATGGAAGCTGCTGGGAAGGGTGAGACTGAACTGGAAAAAGAAGGAGAAAGAGGCAGTGAGGACTATAAAGGCACAACTCAGGACTACCAACCCACCCCTCACCTCAAGAGGAGGAAGTCCCAGGAAATTCTACATCTCAGCAATCTTTACTTGAGGCAATGAGACTCTCCAAACCCTGCAAAGCACTGAATCTTCCTATAAGAAATAGTCCCCCATCTCCAAAAATCTTGACTCACCTTGGTGGTGCCCTATATAAGTGTAGGGGGAGGGCGTGGAAGCCGAGAGGGTGGGCACTCCACTCTGGGGCACACCTCCTTGCGGGGGTCCGCCATGGGTCTGCGAGGGATGCAGCAGCATGACTTGTGGAGCTCCAGGGTGAGGAGGTGGGGCAGCTGCAATTCCAGTCTGGACATGAGCCTATAATTTACAAAATACCAATGTGAGTCCAGTTCATTCAAAACACAATGCTTTAAGAATGGACAACAAGGCATTTCACCAACTGATTTTAAATCAATAGCCCAAAGTGCATGGCACTGACAGATATTTGTTCAAACTGAATAAATAATAATAATAACAATAACTTTATTTTTGTACTCCATCTTCCTGAAGGTACTTGGGGCGGCTTAGATATGACATAAAATAAACAAACAGCACAGTACAAGAAAGTAAAACCAAAAGCATATAAAAACAACAATTTAAAACTCAGAACAATGCCCAATAACATATGGTGACAACTGACCTAAGATTTGGCCAAACTGTAAACAAGACAAGGGAATGGTATAGGGCAAATTGTAGCTAAGGAACAAAGGCATGCATGGAATGAAAGTGCAGTGCTGTGTAATTAATTGCGGAACCATTGGGGCTAGACATTCAAAAAGGCTTGTTTAAACATCCAAGACTTCAAATCTCTATGGAAGGAGGACAATGTGGGGGTCTGCAGGATTTAAGTTAGTTTTTCCTCTACAAACATGGGAGAGCAAAGTCCCTCTCTCTGTTTTTGAACTGCCTGTTAAAGGAAGGACCGGGCTGATCCTTGACCTCACATGGATTTATCACATGGCAAGCACATCTAGTCTGTTGGGGCCGTCCATCACAATTCATCAAGTAATGCCACTCAGGGCATGGATGTAGCCAAAGATGCATCTTTAGCCACAGGGGTAAGAGAAACTGCTCTACCTTTTCTTCCCACCCCATGTCATTGTGTGCCTCAACCCCCGGTTTTGCTGCTGGATCTCACTGTCCAACTAGGGAAAGCCACCTTGGATTGTCTAGCTTTCCACAGATTTTTGACCAATAGAAAGAAGAGCTACTCCTCTTTGGTCTAAGAAGTGCAACATCTATGGGCCATTGAAAGGCACTGCCGATTAGGCTGTTTCTTCCTGCCACTGAGAAAGATAAATTGCAGCTCATAGTCTAGTACACAGTGTAATATTTTTGTGCAAAACTAATGCAGTTAGCTAGGCTACAAAGCTTGGTTTGGTGCCACGAAGAAAAAATGTAATGCTCACTGTAGTTTGCAGACAAAGATATTGGTCAGTTGACTGGAACTGTGAACACTGTAATTAGCCCTGAAGCATTTCCTACTGCTGACTCAGGTTGTATCGGTCCGGCCAGACAACATTTCTGCTATAACGCACATAAACGGACAGGAAGAGATGTTCTTATTTCCTTGCTACTGCTGAGTCCCATTACTTGTCCTTTAGGCTGAGTATCCAGGGCAACTCAATACCAGGATGGATTGGTTGAGCAAGAAAAGCATGCATCATGGACAGCAGAGTCTAAACTCCCTTATGTTCCATAGAATAGCTCATTGATTTAGCACCCCAGAGGTGGGGCTGTGTGATCTGATGGAAAATCACATACTACTGAGAATTGTTTCCATGTTATATATTCTGAAGGCTTGGAACTTAAAACATGCTGACAACAGCATGGCCAAAATACTCTGCTATGCATTGCTGTCAATCTCCTTGCTGACATGGACCCTATATGAAAGCAGATCTGAAAGGCTATTCCCACAGCGCTTCAATTAGCACCATTTTTTGATCTGTTGAGTCTCATGATGCATGAGTGCTTTCCAATTCCCCCATTCCTACTCTATCAGTTATCCAGACAATTTTGGTGCTCTCAGGAATTGGCCAGACAATCTGTATATTGTTTTCATGTTGATGTTTTTTATTTTATCTATTATTTATGGAGTCTTTGTGTGCTATTTTGCTAGCCGCCCCGAGTCCCTATGAGAGATGATGGCAGGGTATAATTATAATTATAATTATTATTATGTGACATGATGTGCTGTGATGTGGCTTTTGTAGGAGGAACTAAAATAAGGGAATTTGTCTTCAAAATAATCCATTGGTTTGATTCTGGCATTCTGAAGGACTGGCTAGGCAGATGCCTAGGTACTAATAGTTTAAAACAGGTCTACATAACCTATGGCCCTCCAGGTGTTTTGAGTGTTAGCTCCCAGAATTCCTGTCCTTTAGACAAGTTGGCTAAAGCTTCTGGGAGTTGGAGTCCCAAATACCTGGAGGTTCAGACTGTGCAGGCTTGCTTTCAAGCAGTAAGTGTCATGTTTAGCATCTACTCTGAAAGGGAAAAATGGCTGGCCTGTCTCGAGACAACCTCATAATGTGTTTTCATTTTTAAGAGAGTGTCTTAATGAAGGCTGTCTCTCATTCACATATTCTCCATATTGGTATTGCCTATTCTTTTGCTCGCATTAATAACATGGTCTTTTAAACTGCTGTGGTCTACAAAACAGTTTCTGATGTGGAAGTTTGTTTTTGGTTGCTTCAGCTTGGAGGGTGTCAGATGTATGGGTACTTTTGTCCATAAGGAACTGCATTTTTACAAGAAGCATTGTACTGCATTTTAGACATGATCCGCTTTTTAATTTGCAGGGTAAATTCAGCCTTTCACTCTGTACTAGGTGAAATTTGATAGTGTCCTTTCAATTGGCAACAGTGAAGAGGCATGTTTTCATATCTACATTGTCTAGGTGGCTTAGGTAGAGGACCGACACTTCCCACAACTCAGAATTTATTGTTCCAAAGGGATACAGCTCATTTGACCAAGATTACCACTAATTCAGCCATGTTTAGGACAGTGAGTACTCTGTGTTTGTAACTTGGAGAATTGCTTCCTTGGCACTGTCCTCTTCTCTGTCAATATAAGATCCACAAGTTTGTCTCTAAAGACATGGACTCTACTAGCTGTGTTCTTTACCCTGTGGTGCCTTCATGAAGGAGTTCAGGCAATTTCTCTTCCTACTGTGACTGCTCTGAGAGGTCCTAATCAAGGATGTTCTGCCTATACAGTAGGAACATGTTTGAAACACTTCTGAAACAGCAAGGAGGCTATCCTACCTACCCAGCATTATGCTTGCTGCTGAACTGAGGTATGTCTTACACATGGTACTTTTCCAATCAGTCCTGGCTTTATTTCTCTAGGATTGTGTCATTTTCTCATTCTTGGAGCTTGGTATTTCTTCATAGGGAAGAGACATGGCAGGTGGATGGACTGGATGACCCCTGGGGCCTCTTCCAAATCTACAATTCTATTACTCACTCCCCCACTTGGAATGGAAGAATAATTAGAAACCCTGTTCCTTGTGTGCTTAGGAAGAGAAAGACCTAGGATATTGCACCCATTCATGCAGAAATTGAACCTTTGTAAAATTCTGTCTCCAGATTCCAATGATGGACCTTGGGAATTTATAGAAGAAAAAAACGAAGTCCTACAACCTTGAAGTGAGCACTATCTTGGTGTAAAGAGTCTCTTCGGCTCTATTCCCTCACTAAGTTGGTTTTCTTTTAGAAGAGAATTTCTCAGCAGAGGTTCAGAAAGCAGCACTTAAAATAATTTGACTTAAATTATAATTTACAGTCAAGTAGCTATGTTTTGCAGTGACAAATTAAGTTAGCATTTGCATTACATGACATGCCATGTCAATTTGAAATTGTACTTATATCTCAGCTGTAATAGATGTTTCTGTATAGGTTTTTAACAAACAGTTATTTCAAAAAACATCCACACAGAAGTCCCTTTCTCAAGCAGCAATCTTGATCAGTGCTCTCAGGAAGTTATGATCTCTCCTTTTTTCCAGCTCTACAACCCTATTATTGGACAATGTCCCTGCTCTCCCATTATCTTTCCCCAAACTGTTACGAATTTACTTATACCCACAACACAGTCAATTAAGTGGTCACCTCCCTGTCTTGGGAAGGCTGAGAAACAATACCTTTCCACCAACTCCCCTTTTCAACAGCATTTGGAGCACTACACAACCTGTTTTGATGACATTTCAGAAACCAGGGAGGTCCAGAGACCAAAGAACATGTCCCAGAATGAAGAGGAACTTTCTAATTAGGTAGATTGCTTCTCAGCACAGGGTGAAAAAAATGAATGCTTCCAGGAAGAAGTTCATTAAATAAATATTCCATCATAACAAGTATTCTGAAGCAGTTCCACACACAATGCCACTGTACAATAAAGTACAAGAGTTGTTTTGGGCTCTACTTCTGCAGAGATACAGCTAGTGTTTGTTTTTGTTAACATTGTTTAGCAAGAGGAACAACCACACAATTAATAACACAAGGATCAATCCAAGATAATAAGCCATAATATAACACAGGATAAACAAGAACTAGGAGTCACACTGGCTATCTAAGAAATCTTGGAGACTCTCACAACCCAACGTTTTTTAGAAAAGGTTTTTGTTCACACATATCCTTCAATGACCTCTAAGAGGCATGAAGAAAAATACTAGCAGTTTTTTTCTTCTTTGGGATCCTTTAGGTCAGGAGAGACCTTTTTCTCTCAATAGGAAGTACTTTTCCCCAACAGGAAGTGACTGGAAGTTGATTTCTTTTTGGAAAAAAAATGATTGCTCTTTTATTTGGGGAAGGAGGAGGCAAACCCATATCAAAGCTGTCTCCCATAGTTCCCTAAGAGAGTTAGGGGGAAATAATTTGGTGGGATGGGGAAAATATTTTTAATAGAGTGGTGTGCAGGGCAAAAAACACAGTCCTAAAGGGCCAGATGTGATCCACTGCAACACTTTTTCTACTTTTCCACATGAGACGTAAGCATATCCTTTTGGCACCATAAGGCAAATAAACTAATTATAGCATAAAGATTCATGCATTAGAGTCTACTTCATTAAGCATGGTATTAAACACATTGATATCCATAATTGTAGGCCAAAATGCAAGTGTAAAGCAAATGAAATAAAGAAGAGCAATGTAGGACAATTATAGCTAAACGTAAATTACTGTATAAATTCAAGTATAAGCCGAGTTTTTCAGCCCTTTTTAAAGGTTATTTATTATTTTACTATGTTATTATTGTTTTTATTTATTAATTATTGTTACGATTACATTTATTATTCTACACTATTATTGTTATTATTACATTTATTATTTTACTCTATTATTATTACATTTCCATTATTTCACTCTATTATTTTTATTACATTTACATTGAAGAAGGATAGAATAATGGTTTAATCAGAGTAGAACAGTCTTATCTTAAATTACACTATTATATAAATATTCAAAAATATTTAACCTACTAATGCCTCAATTAATGTAATTTTATTGGTATCTATTTCTATTTTGAAATTTACCAGTAGCTACATTTCCCACCCTCAACTTATAATCAAGTCAATATGTTTTCCCAGTTTTTTGTGGTAAAATTAGGTGCCTCGGCTTATATTCAGGTCGGCTTATACTTTAATACATACGGCATATAAAACAATAAGCAACTGTTCACAAAACAACCTTCTTTTCAACTTGAACTCCCTTCCATTCCAACTACTATTAAAGCAGAATGCCTTAAGAACATAACTGTGAGTACTCATCCAAATTTCTAAAAAGTAATATAAAACTGTGGCCCCATCTACACTGCCACATAATGTGGAATAGTAATTGCATTAGTGGGCAGAGTCCAAATGATGCTCCAGGCTAATGCGTTTTTATCTGGAATAAACTCATATGACATTTGTGAAGATTCATTCAAGAGTTCATGACACAATCATTGCCGCAACCTCGCTCTTTATACAGGTGAGCCTACTTACCTGGGTGACATGGGCCATGTTGGTATAGCCGTGTTGCAGTTGTTGGTGGGCATGAATGGCATAGACTGCCTGCTGGGGGAAACTGCTCTGTGGAGATTGGGCACTGGGCCCTGGGGTTATGGATGGTGGTGTAGCCGTCAGCGTGGCTGTGTGGTACAGGTTCTGCTGCTGCTGGGCACTGGCCAAATGAGCTTGTCCAGCCTGATGCTGTGGTACAAGGAAGAAAAGTCACCACTGAGCGTATAGAGCTTTGAATAATCTCTACCCTCAAAGTCACTTTCTTTTCCCCTTTTGTTGGAATTGCCCTGGCACAAAGCTAAGACATTCTTTGAAGATATAGACAACAAAGAAAGAACACGGTGGACAGGAAACAGGAATTGTTCTATTTCCCCAAATTACTTTGCTTATTCTCACTGTACTATTAGCTTTCATTTCTTTCACATATATTAGGTTTTATTTGGGATCCCATTTCTGTCTCTGCAGCTACACCATGGTCTGTATTCTTTATTCTTCATGAAGCAGATATCACTCTTCAACACATTACTGCTTTTATTAAAACTGTCTCCTATATCAATAGCCATGTCAATAATGGCTAAAGATATCATCTTGCCTCTTTGTTAGATGACTTAGTCCCCCAAAGAGATGAAATAGCAAGCAAACATGCAATCTACGCCTGATGCTTCATTCCACAGACAGCCGTTCCGATAGGCAAGAGCAAAGATGAGAGCTCCTAAGTGTTGGAATTCAACCCACTGCCCAAGTCTCATGTCCTTAATGAGATAGTTTACTTAGCTTAGAATAGACTAAGGGTTTTTCCTCCCCCCATGTCTCCTAAATAATAGTTGGGAATGTATCTTATTTCTTCTCTCCTCTCAGTTTCTTTTTCTCATTCCAATTGGTTGTTTAAAATTGATACTTTTCGACTGCAAGGTTTTTGAATCGGATTTCTTCCTTTTTACACTTTAGTATGGAGAGGACGTGCTATGTGTATACCGATATGTTGGAAACCGCCTTGAGTCGCCAATTGGCTGAGAAAGGCGGTATACAAATACAGCAAATAAATAAATAAATAAATAAATATGTGCTTTGAGATCTCCCTCTGCTTGTGTGTCAGGAAATATGTAGTGATTGAGTTTTTCCCTCTCTTGAAACCTTAGAAGAGATGGGGTTAGAGTAGCTCAGACCCAGTTCTTGATTATTAAGCAATGCAGTTAGTTCTTCATTACTGTAAAATCAGTGACTCTCAACCTGTGGGTCCCAGATGTTTTGGCCTTCAACTCCCAGAAATCCTAACAGCTTGTAAACTCCTGGGAGTTGTAGGCATACACACCTGGGGACCCACATATTGAGAACCACTGTTGTAAATAAGCCTTTTGTGATTTTTTTAAAAAAAGATTGGACTCTGCATGTTTGTCACAACCAACGGCACATCATGCTCTTTTATATCCTGCTTTTTTGTTTGTTTGTTAGTTTTTTTATTGTAGTTTTCCCTAACACTAAGTGGGATTCTGGCATCTGTATTTTCAAAAAAGGAACACTTCTAAATTCTTCTTTGATTCAAGATTCCACCCCTGAACTTAATCAGAGTGTGAAGAACCACACTGGCAACAGGGCGAATATCAAAACACACAACCAAATTGTGAAAGATGCAAGAGCCAGAGAAGCATTAAGTGCCTCCTCCAATAGCAGACCACTCTCTGTGCTCCCCCTTCCCCCATGGTACCTGCACTGGGCTGGGGGCGGCGTGTTGCGCTTGCTGTTGGTTGCCGGTGGGTGTGGTAGCTGGTTGAGGCTGATGCGGATGTAGCTGTGTAGCATGGTGGGGATACGACTGATGCACTGTGGCTGGGGAGAGAAGCAGCAAGCAGCAGTCAACAAGGCCGGGGGGGGGGGGGGGGGGGGGGGGGGGGGGGAGAGGAAGCTTGGAGTGATTAATGTTTTCTAATGGAACATGAACTCACCATAAAGAGTCTGAGGCGTAGGTTGCTCTGCCGGGGGATATTGGGGAGTAGATGATGATACAATGGCCTGGGGGTGACTGCCAGATGCCATCATGCGTGGGTTGCTCTGCAGCATAGGGGCGAAGACAGGCTGGAGAGAGGAACGCAAGTTAGAAAAAATGGACACACACACAAATCAGCACCATATTCTCCCTTCTCTTCTTGAAGCAAGCCTCAGACACACCTGCGATGGATAGTGTGCCATAGGCTGCATCATAGTGGGCTGTCCTGTGAACTGCTGAGGGTTGTAGGAAATATATGACGAATACGGAGTGGCAGCCACAAGTGGGGGCCCAGCGGCTGCAGCTGCCTGCATGATAGGAGGAGCTGAGGTTGGCTGGTGCTGGTCTGAACGCTGAGGGGGCAGAGAACCTGGACAAGCAGAAAATGCAGACAAGAAAGGTTGTAAATACCCACACTTCTCTTTTCAGCTACACTCCTCTATGTCTTCATCCATCCATCCATCCATCCATCACATCCATCACCTTACCTTTAGCTCCTCGATATTTGCCCTGCTGTCCTGGCACAGAATTGGAAACAGGGTAAGGGTACATCTGGGGCGCCTGCAGAAAATAAGGCCAAGTCCATTACCGCCAGTATGACTCCACCTCCATTATAATTTGGAGGAAGCCAGGACTATCCACAGATACCCTGTCACGGTTTCACGAACCTGCACAGCTGGGCTCATGTGGATTTGTGGGATATAAGAGATGTACTGTGTGCTGTACATGCCGCTTTGCCCAGGTGTAATGACTGGGATGGAGGGCGTAGAGTGAGTGCGTGGTCCCGGTGATGTGGGCGTACTTGTTGACTTGTTCTGGGCAAAGACAAAAGTGAAACAAAAGTGTTGAAGAAGCTGATGAAAAAAACAATTAAGAGATAAACAGAACTCTGGGAAGAGCAATCTATCTCACAAAACTCTACAACTGATGTGGCACCAAGGCAAATCATGGCAGGTAAGCCCATTAACTATTACACTCTCGAAGCACGGAAAAACACGTGCACACACAAGTTATAACCCCAGAGTTAGTTTTGCACCCTAATTACATACCACGGATAGGAGAGTCTTTGATGGGTTGAATTCCTTTGCATTAGGATTCAGTGTTGATTTTTTCACTTGTCTGGAGAAGAGTGAAAATAGGAAAAATATCAATGCAAAAGAAAATACATCAATAGCTCCTCTTCTGCAGTCTCGACTACAGACTTACTCTGAGACAGGGCCATCCTCCTTGTCTTCTGTGTCCCCTTTGCCCAGAGGGCTAGATGTTTGAGTCTGGCGTTCCATGCCTTCACAGGGCCCTTTCTCTTCCTTGCTGGTGACATCAGACAGTTCTAGGCTGGGCTTGGGGGACTCCTCAGGCACTTCGCAAGTGCCCCCTGCCCCAGCCAATGCTTCTGGGGGCTTGTCCTTCACCTTTCCTTCAAGAGGCTCCTTGGGTCGGAAAGTGTCAAGTGTGGCCTCTGGGGAGGAACTGGGCTGCAGCTTCAAGAAAACAGAGAGGGAGGATAAGCAACTGGAGCCAGGAACACATAATGCCCATAATCCACACCCAGTACACAAAATGCACCGAGGAGAAATGAGAACATCCTCACCTTAAACTGGGCTCCAAATTTACGCAGCTCCTCTAGCTGATTCCTCTTCTGCTCATTCTGAAGACCTAGAATGGAAAGCCAGAGCAATTTTATAACCAGGTTTGGAACCCCAATGCAAACTCTTGAAAACCACTTGCAAATTGAGCCCAAGTCAAAGCCCTGCTGGATAAATCTCATGAAACATTTCTTTTTTTAAAAAAAAAGAAAAGAAAGGCAAACAGAAGTATCCCACAGAACACACCCAAACAAAGGCTCATTCTCAAGATTATGAAGTTTAATGTTGGAAGATCTGAAAAAGCAGCAATTACTGAGCTGGGAAAAAAGGGCACAAGAGAAACAAACCTTTGTTTGCTTGTTTGACCAAATCTGAGGGTCCCATAACCTCCAAGGTCCTGCTGGGTTCTTTGGTGACAGAGCTAGGCACCTCTTTAACTAGATGTAGAGGAAAGGGGAAAAGGTTACATTGCACAGTCACTGAAAAAGGACAGAAATCACTTAGATAAATATGGTATCCTTAGAAGCATCATGTTGTTTTTATTTTATGTTGATACTGAATTCCTTTGTTGTAAGTTTTCTGTTGTTACTCTCCATTACTTTGTATTATTTTGCTGTGTCTTTACCTATTTTGAGGCAGTAAATGTTTGCCTTTTTATGTGTAAACCACCCCAAGTCCTTCTGGGGAGAGAAGGTGGATTAGAAATAAAGTTTTGTTATATTATTGTTTTATTATATAACATTTGCTCTTTCAGACACTTTCTTAGGAAGAGCAATCTGGCTTGGATCTTAAGTTCCCTCCCCATTGATCATAATTAATAGCTTTTGGAAAGTAGCCACCAAAATTACAGGACAAAATGTAAGACCAGTCTTCTAGAGATCAATAACCTGAAGGTTGGGAGTATCAAGTCCACTTTCTGCATAGCTGTTAGCAAACTATACTACGTTATCTTTGGGTGCAAATTCTTACCTTCAACAGCAGCTACAGGAGCAGATGCTGGGACCTTGGGAGAAGGTGGGGTTGGAGAAGCACTAGGTTCCATTACAGGCCTTGATTCAGAGGGTGACACAGGAGCAGCAGGGGCAGTCGATCCCACTGGGGGATCCTGAGAGCAGACTGGCACAGCTGAGGCAGATTTTGGAGAACGTGGAGTGTAGACGCGGCCCACTGTGTGGCAAAAGCGTAACTGTTAGATTTAAACCAAGCAACATAAAGAGCAGTCTTTTGCAGAAGATTTAGGGGGTGAGGGAAGTGCCAAATTAACTACTTGTAAGTTGCTCTTGGAGCTCTTTTGTCTGAAATGCAGGCTATAAATACTACTAATAGTTATTTTTATCTGCCCTACCTGTTGGAGAAGCAGCTGAAACTTCCATGGGGCGACTGGAGGGAGAAGACATACTCTTGGCCCCCCGAATAGGTCGCTGTGATTTTGGAGACATTCTGGATGGACCTGGAACAAAACAGCCACAGATGCAAATAAATCAATGAAGGGTATAACAAACATTTCTTTGCTATTTGGAAAAAAAGTACTGGGAAATCCATTATTAACCACAACCTAGGATCATTGTGGAAGCTCTAAAGTGGAAATCATGGTAAAAAATTTAAGAGGCCACTATTTCCCCTACTCCTCCAGCCCAAAAATCAACAAGGGAAGAGATGGTTGAGGCATCTTAATCCAATAACAACAAAGCAGTTTGTCCCATACAACGAAATTACCAACATATTACATATTTCAATTTAAAGGCCTCAAATGATGAGGCTCACCTCCATTTATGCCTCGTTGTTCTGGAATGGAGCCTGTGTTGCTTTCTGAATGATGTGTGCTTCCACGGGGAGGTAAAGAGCTCATGCCTGGCCTCCCGCCCCGAGAGCTGCTGCAACGTACTCCGCCTCGCGAGCCTTCTCGGACACGTTGGGGAAGTGGTATGTACTTGCCCTCTCTTAAAGAAAGAGAAATTCACAATGTCTTGTTTGGGATTGGAGCATGAAGTAAAATGTTATCAAGGGTTTTAGCCACAAAATCCAAAGCATTTCTACCACAAATTCATTAGCAATCATCAACTATAAGGGATGATCACATTTTCAAGCACTGGTTAGAAAGGGGGATATTTTCATTGTTCTTTTCTTCCAAAATAAGCACAGTAAACAAGCAACAAATGAAGGCCTGTTCTGCCTTAAGCCATCTCTACACCAAAAGCCCCCTATATATTGACTATTATACTAAATTCTGAATGACAAACAAAGAGCAAGTGAATCACAAATGCATCCACTAGAGACAACAAATGTGAATCAATACAAACATGCAAAAGCACAAGGACAGTGAATGAGGACTAAAAATAGTGATATAAACAGGCCTACATTTGGTTACTGATTTTTTTGACAAAATTAACTAAATCAAAATGTAGTGAACTGCAAAACCAAAAAAGCATTTAAAAGCCTGGCTGTGTTTCTAAAAAGCATTTGATTGGCTCAATGAAGGCCTAGGTTGCCAACTCAGAAAAAAATGTCCATTAGCAATCAAGGTGCAGGTGGGTGTATTTTCAGCCTCTCACCAATGCTGCCAGCTCACCTGGATGCCAGACTAGGGCTATCTCTTCCTGACACCTGTCTCTGAACAGAACTGTGCTTTTCTTCTTCTGTGCGCCCATCATCATTTTCCATTGCAATACGTAGTCGATACTGTGGGCTTGATTCAATCTCCCGCGCCAACTGCGCAGCTCTGGCCTCTCGCTGCCGGAATTCTTCAGAATTGTCTTTCTCAAGAGGGACTCTGACATGCACAGATGGAATAGAAAAGAGGAATAATACATGCTAACTGTACCTTCAACCCGTTTCTGACATGATAAATATAAGCCAAGCTGCACAATACCCCTAAATGGAGTGGGAGCAAACTGCTTGGCAAATATTCCAAGTGACCACACCTTGGAATCCACAACATTCTCAAGCCTTGCCTTCAAATGCAGATACCAAAAGGTCAGTAATTCTACTTCTTAGTGGGGAACATAATTACGTTTTAGTCAACTTCATCACTACAGGGAGAGTGGCAACATTTTGAATTTAAGCTAAAGACATCTCCTAGGAATTTAAATCTACCATGACCAGCAAATCTACGAAGATTTTTTCATTGGTTCTAACTGATCTTCAGACCTTTCTATATCTGCAGAGCATCCATCAAGACCATTTTATAAATGGGTGCACAATTACGCACTGAGTGGACTCTGAATCCCCTCTCTGAATCCTTCTCTGGTCCCTTGTTATCCACTATCTGTTCAAGCACTTAAATGAACTAGCAATACTTTTTTCTCTGATTACCTAGAACAGCGTTTCTGAATCTGGGGGTCAGGACCCCTGGGGAGGTTGCAAGAGTGTCAAAGGGGTTGTCAAAGACCATCAGAAAATACAGCATTTTCTGTTGGTCATTGGGGTTCTGCGTGGGAAGTTTCACCCAAATCGTTGGTGGGGTTTACAATGCTTTTTGATTGTAGGTGAACTAGAAATCCCAGGAACCACAACTTCCAAATGTCAAAGTCTCTTTTCCTCAAGCTCCACCAACGTTCATATTTGGGCATACTGAGTATTCGTGCCAAGTTTGATCCAGACCCATCATTGTTTGAGTCCACAGTGCTCTCTGGATGTAGGTGAACTACAACTCCCAAACTGAAGGTCAATGCCCACCAAACCCTTCCATTAGTTTCTGTTGGTCATGGGAGTTCTGTGTGCCAAGTTTGGTTCAATTCCATCATTGGTGGAGGTCAGAATGCTCTTCTGTAGGTGAACTATAAATCTCAACAACTACAACCCCCAAATAACAAAATCAATCCCTGTCCCCATCCCCACTAGTATTCAAATTTGCACGTATCGGGTATTTGTGCCAAATTTTGTCCAGTGAATGAAAATGTGTCCTGCATAGCAGATATTTACATTATGATTCATAACAGTAGAAAAATTACAGTTATGAAGTAGAAATGAAAATAATGCTATGGTTGGGGGTCACCACAACATGTGGAACTGTATTAAGTGGTTGCGGCATTAGGAACTGAACTAGACACATTTTTTTATTTCAAATCACTATCATGCAACCTCCATTAAGATGCTTCCTACCCAGCCACATCATTATCATTTGATAAATAAATAAAACCTTTCTTTCTGCAACCTGAAACAGATACAACGAAAAGTTAACTTACGTATATGAAGAAAGGCTGCTATCATAGGTGGTCTTCACACCATAAGTTTCTTCATTGAACTTGAACATCTCATTGGGGTCCCAGCCATTTGACTGAAATAACATTTACAACAACAGTGTAAGTGCTTTGTGAAGCTTTGAAGAGCACCAGCAATCCTCTTCCGTGGATCAATCCCAACCAGGATATTTACCATGTCAGATTCCAAATCATAATCATCACTGTTGCTGTCTCCTCCTTCCCAGCGTTGTAGCACCTTCTCTTTGTGCTCTCCATTCACCTTGGAATTCATAGCAATAGCAGAATCTGTGAATTTATCTAGGAGTAGAGCAGATGAACATCTCAGGATGGAAAACATCTTCATCCACACCATGTCAGAATTTAACCCTGATATATTGAAGTTGCGTTACCTTTGGTGGCGTAATTAAAATCAACATTGCGGAAGTGCACCAGCATGACATCAGCAGGCTTGAACACCATAGTGTCCACAATATCCTCCCTCCTGGGCCCTACTGGTTGGTCCGGCACCTTCTTGTGCACAGCGTCCACAGCTAGTTCAAACTATACAGAAATAAATCCTTGTTATTATTTGCAGTATCTTCCTATCCATGTAAAACAAAGCAGAAGAGTAATCCATACTGTATCCCCTCCCAGGTATACAGAACACTGTCCATTATCAGGTAATTAAAAAGACATCACTTTTGGGCCTTCATTTTAAATTTAAGGCGGCAGGCCAAATCTGTTTATTCAGACTAGCCAGCAAATCCAAATCTCACCTTGGAGCTAAGGGTTTTAAAAATCCCCTCAAAGGTGCTTCCATTTTTCACTTTCACATCGCATGTAGATCCCTGGAAAGAGAGTATGAAGATAAATGTAACACCAAGAAAATATTTCAGATTGGAATCTGAAGGTCTCTTTCCTACACCAGACAGCAGCTTTTTTCACTGGCTGCAGCTCCAGAAAGATTGGGATGAACATGTATTAACAATACACAAATCACTGACATTATAACCACCAATTTAGACCAGGCATGAGCAAAATTTGGTCCTCCAGGTGTTTTGGATTTCAACTCCCAGAATTCCTAACAGCTGGTTAGGAATTTTGGGAGTTGAAGTCCAAAACACCTGGAGAACCAAAACACCTGGAGAATCATGCCTGATTTAGACTCTACTATCAAGTCTGGGCTAACAATATGTGTAATTTTTAGGTTTTCCAACTCCCACAATCCCACAACGATTCACAGAAGTAACCTTCATTGCCATGCATTATGGTCACCAGAACCATATTTTCCTGAAAAATGCAAAAATATCTGATGCAGAAAATCAGAAGTGATATACTATAGAAATTAAAGAGTTGACCCAACTGGGATAGAGGCAAGAGAACTGGCTATCTCTCTGGATTGTACTCATAAAAGTGTACATGGCATCCTTAAAAATGTGAAAAACTGATCTCAATAAACAGCATTAGGAAGAGAAAATATCCTCAACTCACCCTATACACATTTTTTCAAACTAGTACAAAGTACAGTAAAAACGATGGAAAAGGAACACATATTCTGAACTACAAATTGAGAGTACAGCTGTCAAGATACTAATTCTGGAAGTGATCCTTAACCAAGAGCTTTTCCTGCAAGATACCTTACATGTTTCAGAATAGGACAAAATTTCCAAACTACCACCCCATGATAAATTTGCCCTTCTCATCTTTAGGAGACTCACCACAACTGCTGTCAGGAAGTGCAGCATACGTGAATTGTTATAAACACCTTCAAAGACCTGGTGTTGAATACAAAGGGATAAAAAAAGGCAAGGGCCATTAGAAAATGTATCAACATCTGCTGCCTTTTTGCTACTCTTCTAGATCCAGAGAAGATGCTTTACCAATTCTAGCAATCTTAGAACTGTAGTTACTAGTCCTGAAAACTGCTCTAGGGAATGGAATATGAGACTGCTGTTTCATATCCATGTAGATTAGAAATCATAAAGACGACGGCACCTAGTCCTGACAAAAGCTGACTCAGATAAATAACTGAATACTAAGTCAATATGAATGTACATCCTATTGATTCAATGGGTTTCGTTTCCTCAAGCTGGAACGAAGAGTTGAACTTAGACCTTTTTTTTATAAAGGATGCAAAGTACACATTTAGTTCCTTTTTGCTGTTGTTTCAGTTTCTATTTCAAAATAAAATACAGTGACATAACTATTAAGAATCCTGCTAAAACAGTGGTTCTCAAACTATGGGTCCCCAGCTGTTTTGGCTTATAACTCCCAGAAATCCCTGCCATTTTACCAGCTGTTAGGATTTATGGGAGTTAAAGACCAAAACATTTGGGGGCCCACAGGTTGAGATCCACTGTGCTAAAAGTATGCAGAGGCTTGCTTTTGCTACCAAGCTATGAGTAGCTGCTTTTGCATCCTTGGCAGCTCTACAATAGCAATAGTGAAGATGTCCCCCTCCTAATGCCATCAAAACACATCTCCCAGTAGCTGTAGCCAAAATGGCTGATGGACAAGCATGATGGGAGTGGTAAGCTAAAATGCCTGCACTACAGGACACCCAGTATGGAAAAATCAAGATAACCTGACAACATGGACATGTCTTTATTAGACTTGCTATACATCTTCTTCCAGCATGAAATGGTGGGAATTCAAGATTTCACATAGTGGGAAACATAACCAACAGGCTGAATACATATTTTATCAAATATCAAGACCCATCCTTTTGATTTGGAATGGATTTCAGTCGTAACAGCTGAATCTTGGAAACAAACACTTTTATAAATCTTTATATAAATGTAGCAGCTGAAATTTGAGATGTCAATTAAATAAATCACACATATCTGAAGACAAAATATGGTCTTGAAGCTTAGTCTGTGATACTTACAGGAGACTGTGGAGGTCCTTTGCCTGTGCTCTGGCCCCTGAAAACGAATCAGGAAAAATAAATAACTCACAAGAAAGTGGTATTATCCATTCTCTTCAAAATGCAAGCATTTCTTAGAACAGGCAATTTCTAAAAATGTATGGTCATTTCACCTGTGGAGATTTCTAAATAGGGTTAATTCTAATAAAAATCCAGTTTAGTAGAAGAAAATAAAACAGGGTTTCCTTGAAAAGGCAAAAAGCTAGAAGTCTGCTCATGATGTAGGATAAGAAAACCTATTCTGAAAAACTCTAAGTATACTACAAAATAATATTCAGTATACAAATATATATTCAAAAAGAATATATCAATGTACAGATATAGACATCCAAGACCATAAACTTAGTCAGACACCTCTATCATGTCTTTTTTAATTGTCAGTTCCTGATTACTCTTAACAAATTTATAGTCCTTATGGACAAAAAAAGACACATAATTTCAAAATTGCACTGTGGACTCTACATTTCTGATTCATATTTTGCTTTCTACCACAATCAGAACTGTAATGGGTCTCCTGTTTTGCTCCCAAGATGAGGACAAAACTTTTCAAGTCTAAGATTTCCTAAGATTATTGTGGCTGTACTTTTGAAAAAAATATATATGTTTATTTCTGTGTTAGAAATATATTGAGAATCCTGTAGTTTTGTTATCTTGAATGCCTCAAGAGTCCAAACAAAATTGAAACTTGAACAGAGAAGGGAGAGGAACGACTATGTTGAGCAATTAAAGCCCCTTCTACACAGCTGAATAAGATCCCACATTTTCTGCTTTGAACTGGAATATATGGCAGTGTGGACTCCGATAACCCAGTTTAAAGCAGATATTGTGGGGTTTTCTGGCTTGATATTCTGGGTTTTATGGCTGTGTGGAAGGGCTCTTAGATGGAAAATAATGGTCCAGGACTAAGCGGTATAGGAGCAGCTCACATACTTTGATAATTTCTCAAACTTTTGTCTGAAGCATGGCCTCCATTTTGACTGACACCTTAAATAATTATATTAACCTAGGAAACATACTTTAAATCTACACCCAACTTAATTGAACTTATTTCTGATAAAATAGAATGAAAACACTCAGGTAGAGGACCAAAATGAAAGCAGAATCATTTATTTCAACCTCACAAAAATCTCTATGCATTTATCCCTTTTTCAACATACAGATGGCCAAACAGAGATTGGTTACAGGCTGAGCACTCCCTGTCCAAAATACTCTAATATTATCCACATGGCTACTGAGATAGTGGCACCTTAGTTTTCTGACGGATAAATGTACACAAACTTCGTTTCATGTACAAGTTATTTAAAATAGTGAATATTGATATGGTATAATAGAGAAGTGGTTTAAGAAAATATGTTAGTGAGATGACAATATTTTTACCGTATGTACTTAAGGCAGGCAGTTGGAAGTCTATTTTAGCTTTTTATTTTTAATTTTATGATTGTTGTTTTTAGATGGAGAAGAGTGGGGAAAATTAGTTTTAATGGGTGTATTGGTGGTATGAGTGATGTATTGGAAAATTACTGACTTTACAAATTATACAGTATGATAGTTTAAGTGCTTTATATATATATATATACACACACACACACACACACACACACACACACTCTGTAGATATTAAAATATTGCATAAAATTACTTGCAGGCTATGTGTGCAAGGTGTATATATGAAACATCAATAATTTTCACATCTGGGCTTATACCTCCAAGATACTGTACATATTCATGTATAAATTGACCACATATATAAATCGAGAGCAGGTTTTGGGGACAAATTTGTGGATTTTGAGATGGCCCGTGAATAAGTCAAGGGTCATTCTGCAGAGAGGGAAAAGCACCAGTGCTGCTTTGGGGGAGGGGGGAACCATTCCTGGCTGCCATCATTATTTCCCAACCCAAGTATTCAAAAAGGCAAGAAGCAGCACTACAACAGAGAGAGTAGAGGCAGCTGCTGCTACTTTTAGGTTCTCCTGGGATGGGCTAAACTCTTCCCTTTTGTCAGTCTACTCCAGTGGTTCTCAATCTGTGGGTCCCCAGGTGTTTTGGCCTACAACTCCCAGGATTTCTAGGAGTTGAAGGCCAAACCATCTGGAGACCCACAGGTTGAGAACCACTGCTCTACTCAGACACAGTTCCTCTTTTGATAAGAGTTAAAGTAGAGCACCCACAGTGATGAGTCAACCCAGGTTTTTTGTGTTGACTTTCTGACGAGTATTTCTACATTTATGCATGAGTATATAGGGCAAGTATATATTTTAGCTTCTCAGAAGTTTTAAGCAAGTGGACAAAAATATATATGGAGACATAACATGTTAAATAAAAAAAATAAAATTACAATATAGCAAATCTACAGCCAAAAATAAATTTATAATACAGTGTTACATTAAGTTTATTTCTATTTGTCTTAATTTCTTTTTATTTACTGTTTTTCAACATTAATACCAAGTCAATACAGAATTTATGATAAGTTATAATATGGGGTATCGTTAAGACCTATTTCTAAGATTAACTCTCAAGCAACTAGAAAATACATTGATTTGGCTTTTCTTAATTCTAATGGGTACCAGTTAGCAGAGTCTACTATACATGCAAATATATTCAGTTCCTGGGTTACAGACAAAATAGGTTAATGTAGGTTTCTTCTTAAGCTGAATTTGTATTGTAAATTAGAACAGGTACATTTTGTAAGTGTAACTCCAGCCAAATGTATTTATCAAAGTTTTTGATAACAAAGGGAATGGTTAACACTCCATGTGGTATTTGTTTTGCTGTCTGTGTCCCTGTTCAGAAATTTTCACCTCACTTTCTGTCTCTGTGATCATTGGATTTTGAAAAATGTGGCTTGTTGTGGAAAGGCTTAGAGATAAAGGCTTCAGTGGAGACACCTTTTCCCCATGATAACTCTTCCAAGGGTTTTCAATCACTTCCTGTTGTCTCACCCCTGTTCTTAACTATGAGTCTTAATACAAGTCGGATGCCTGTAATCAGAGGACTGCCTGTATAGATATTCTGAAATAAAGAAAAATAACCCAAATCCCAAACACTTCTGGTCCAAAACCTTTTGGACAAGGATGCTTGACCTGTATATATTCTGTGTGTTGTTGAAGGCTTTCACGGCCAGAATTACTGGGTTGCTGTGAATTTTTCAGGCTGTATTGCAATGTTCCAGTAGCATTCTCTCCAGACACTTCACCTACATCTATGGCAGGCATCATCTAAGTTTGTTCAGAGGTCTATGCGAATGAGGCAAATATGTCTGTCTGTCTATCTATCTATCTATCTATCTATCTATCTATCTATCTGTGGAATGCCCAGGGTCTAGTCTATTTGAGGCCAATGTGAATGTTCAATTAGCCAACTTGATTAGCAATGGAGTAATCTTGCTACTGGGGCATCCTTTGTTTGGAAGGTGTTAACTGGCACTTGATTGTTGGCTCTCTGGAATTCCCATTTCTGAGTGGTGTTCTTTATTTATTGTCTTGATTCTGGTGTTTTGTCATACTGGTAACTGGATTTTTTTCATTTTCATGGTTTAAAGATTGTAGGATGTGTTCCTTCATTAGCTTCCCTATACTGTCATTATTTATTATCGTGTTGGAACCAAATTGAGAGTTTAAATGTATTTAAAACCACAAACAAAGTTAAAAACATAATACTAAATTTTCTTTGACCGGAAGCTGGCCACTTCGAGTGCCTCTGGTGTCACTGTCAGAAGGTCCTCCCTTGTGCATGTGGCAGGGCTCAGACTGCATTGTAGTAAGTGGTCTGTGGTTTGCTCTTCTTCACATTTACATGTCATGGACTCCACTTTCTAGCCCCATTTCATAAGGTTGGCTCTGTATCTCATGGTGCCAAAATGCAGTCTGTTCAGCGCCTTCCAAGTTGCCCAATCTTGTGTGTGCCTAGGGGGCAGTTTCTCATCCAGACTCAGCCACTGATTGAAGTTCTGGGCTTTAGCCTGCCACTTTTGGATTCTCACTTGCTGAGGTGTTCCTGCAAGTATCTTTGTAGATTTTTGAAAGCTATTTCTTAATTTAAGACTTTGGCATGCTGGCTGATATCTGAACAGAGGATGGGCTGGAGATGTCAATGCCTCAGTCCTTCCATTACTGGCTGCTACTTCTCAACGGGTATCAGGTGTGCAATACCAGGAAAAGAAAAGGTCTGAGGCTATTAGGTATTGTGGCAGTTGAAGTCCAAAACACCTGGAGGGCCAAAGTTTGCCTATGACTGGGCTAAACACTTCCCGTTTGTTTGTAAGACCATTTTCCCTCTAGGTAGGTCTATTGCAGTGGTTCCCAACCTGTGGTCTGTGGACCACCAGTGGTCCCCAAGAATGAAAATATGGTCCATGCCCTATTACTACACTGTTTCCTTGAAACCACACAGTAATGAGAGCGACTGGTCTTGCGGAATCCTCTTATAGTGCCAAGGCAATGGGGATGTCAGGAGAGGAGAGGCTGACTACCCACAAAAGATTACTACTACCACATCAGCTCGAAATTATTAAATATGGTTTTCTGTGGGTGAGCAGATGGGGACTACTGTATGGCAAATATTCTGTATAAGAAACTAGAGCTGATGTGATCTATCCAATGCAATTTTCCGAATCAGCATCCCAAATATTCAAACCGAATCTAAAGTTGGTCAAAAACTGATTTCTAACCCTTTAGGTCCTAATGTTGTAGAGCAGTGGTTCTCAACCTGTGGGTCCCCAGGTGTTTTGGCCTACAACTCCCAGGAATCCCAGTCAGTTTACCAGCTGTTAGGATTTCTAACAGGTTGAGAACCACTGTTGTAGAGTGATCCCTGATCAAAAAAAGGTTAGAAACCACTGCTGTACAATGTTGAATCAAGGCAGTTTGACACCACTTCAACTGCTGTGGATCAATGCTATGGAATCCTGGGAGTTGTAGTTTTACAAGGTTGTAGAGTGGTCCCTGGTCAAAGTGGTCCCTGTCCAAAAAAAAAGGTTAGGAACCACTAGTCTACTGTATATGATGCAGCTGTGAACAAGTCTACATGAGGACCACCAAATGCAACTGCAAAGCTACTCGATTACTAATCAAGCTGCCTAATAGCAACAGTCACGCTTGCCTCAAACAGAGTTCTTTCCTGCAAAGTGGACATTCCACAGATATATATACACATCCCACTTGCTTCATTCCCCCAAACCTCTAAGGATGTTTGCCATATTCAAATAAATAAATAGATCAGGTATGGGCCAATGTGGGCCTTCCAAATGTTTTGGACTTCAACAATACAACCGGTAGTCTCTACGTCTGGCATGGGGAAACCTGGGCCCGCCGGGTGTTTTGGACTTCAACTTCCACAATTCCTAACACATTCAGGCCCTTTCCTTTCCCCGCTCAGCAGCTTAAGCAGAGTTGAAGTCCAAAACACATTTATTTACTATTTATTATTTACTATATTTATATACCATCCCTCTCTGCCTGCAGGTGACTCGAGACGGTTTACAGTTGGTACCAAGACCATAAAATACAATTTCAATATAATAAAACAATAGAATAATAAAACCATGACAGAATCAATAAAAATACGTATCATTAGGGTCTCCTCATTAAAAACATTGTCCAGTCACATTGTCATTCATTCCATTTTCCTATGTCTGTTACTCTGTATTTGCAAATGCCTACTCAAAGAACCAAGTTTTAACTCTCTTCCAAAATGTTAAAAGGGAGGGGGCCGATCTGATGTCCTTAGGGAGGGCGTTCCATAGCCGAGAGGCCACCACTGAGAAGGCCCTGTCTCTCGTCCCTGCCAACTGTGCTTGTGACAAAGGCGAGACCAAGAGCAGGGCCTCTCCAGACGATCTTAAAGTCCTGAGAGGTTCATAGTATGCTTAACCCAAAACATACTATGCTTAAGCGACTGAAGGGGAAAAGGAAAGAGCCAGAGGCTGTTGGGAATTGTGAGAGTTGAAGTTAGCCCATGTCTGATTATTGCTTGTTGTTTAATATTGCTTTAACTGTTTTTAATTTGCTTTAGGTTTTGCATTGTTATGTTGTGTTTTGAGGCCTTGGCCTTTGTAAGCCGCATCGAGTCCTTCGGGAGATGCTAGCGGGGTACAAATAAAGTTAATAATAATAATAATCACTTCTTTTGAAAATGCATTTCAAATGTATTGCATAGCCTTGTTCTACAAGACTTGGGTGGGTCTATTATGATGCAACAGAGATCAGTAACGTGTGTGTAACTTACATGGGAGTTAAAGTCCAAAGCACCTAAAGCAGTGGTTCTCAACCTGGGGTCCCCAGATGTTTTTGGCCCACAACTCCCAGAAATCTCAGCCAGTTTATCAGCTGTTAGGATTTCTGGGAATTGTAGGCCAGAAACATCTGGGGACCCCAGGTTGAGAACCACTGCATAGAGCCTGGATTGTAATATGTTACATGTAGGCCAGAAACATCTGGGGACCCCAGGTTGAGAACCAGGCATGTAGCTGGGGGGTGGGGGCTTGGGGGGCATAACCCCCCCCCCCAAATTCTCATGGTGGTCCGCGAAAAGGCCTCACTGGTACATTATTTAAACTGTTATGTTTATTCATATCATGATCTGATCACCATGCTCAATATATCCCATATGCATGGGGGTAATGGGGTAATGATACAAAAGGATTTGTCAAAGGCTTTCATGGCTGGAATCACTAGGTTCTTGTAGGTTTTTTCGGGCTATAGGGCCATGTTCTCGAGGCATTCTCCTGACGTTTCGCCTGCATCTATTGCCAGCTTTCTAGAACATGGCTCTATAGCCCGAAAAAACCCACAAGAACCTAGTGATTCCAGCCATGAAAGCCTTTGACAATACAATGCCTCTAGAACATGGCCCTATAGCCCGAAAAAACCTACAAGAACGTAATGATACAAAAGGTTTGCTAGGGCAGACCCTCTTTGACTCAGAAACAAAATCCTGGCTACGGGCCTGTTGAGAACCACTGAAAAGGGCCTGACATAGATGCTACTGGGACATGGCCATAAAGCCTGAAAACCTCACACCAACCCTGCCTGTCTTCCATTTCTGCAAGGGGAGCCCCCCTCCATGTTGTCCCCCTCCCTCGCCCTGGGGCGGGGCACCCCATTGGCTAGAGCGTCGCCCAATCAGCGCCCGGAAATTCGGCCCTCCGCTTATCAGGGCCGCACACTCCTTTGGTCCCGCCCTCCTCCCCGCGGCCTGGCCGAGTCCTCTCTTCAACCCCTCACTGCGCGTCCACGCACCTCCCTCCCTCCCTCCCTGTACCCACATTCCCCGGATGTAACATTAAAGCGATACCCACCTCGTCCCGCTTCCTCCCGGGGTGCCCCCTCCTCCTCCTCCTCCGCTCCCGGGGGGCGCCACAGTGGCGACCCGGGCTCCCCCCGCGGCGCCGGGGCTGAGGCTGCCGTTGGGGCTGGCGGGCGGCGGGTTGGCCTTCCGTGAGGCGGCGGCGACAGTGGCCGAAGAGGTGCCGGCGGCTGCGAGGGGCGGCGTGGGCACGGAGGCCGGCGCCGGGCCCGAAGCCGGAGGGGCGGGTTGCGGGGAGGGCGGCGGCAGCGGCTGCTTCAACATGGCGGACGCCACAGGCTCAGCTTCCCGAGCCCGCCCGCCTGGCTTGCCTGCCTGAACACAGGCGCACAGGAGGCCGTTGAGGCCTAGGATTCCCTTGAGGAGGTTCGAATTGAACCCGGAAGGGGAAGCCGGCCGGCGAAGGAGTTCCCTAGCTGACTGACGGGCGGGCAGACAGACAGACAGCGAGGGTGGTCACAAACGAGGGTTCTTAAAGGAGGAGGAGGAAGAGAACCTCAATCGACTCCCGCCCTTCGTTAGCCTAGGCCCGCCGCGCGCGCGACTGACTCACTGACTGACTTCCCTGCTTGCCTTCTCTCAGAGCGTCGGGAGCGCGCTCGTTCCTTCGCTTTTCCAACGTAGGCCTCGAGGCCAAGGAACGGGTTTTTACGCTTGCTCGCGCGCGACGCGTCCTCTGATTGGTCGCCTGGCCCTGCCCTTTTTTTGTCGCGGGGGGGAGGGGGAAGGAGAGAGAAAGGAGAGAAGTTCTAAGGCTCGCGCTCTCTCTCTTTCTCGAGCGCGCGCGCTTCAGCCAATCAAGAGGCCGCGAGGAAGCTCAAACCCGCGCAGGTGGGGGTTGGGGAGGAGGGGGAAAGTCAGCCGTGTGCGCACGCGCAAAGGAGGAAGTCAAAGCGAGAGAGAGAGGGGCGGGGGGAGAGTGGTGATGTTGGCGCTGAGGGAGAAGAAGAAGCCAACCCCCCCTTTTTTTCCCCTTTCCCGACGCGAAACGGTTCCAAACCCCTTTTTTTTCCGTCGAGCCGGGTTGTAGAGGTGGTTATTTTTTTGTTTTGTCCTCCCCCTCTCTTTTTTCCCCCCTCTTTTAAGGAAAAAAGGGAAGTAGTACAGGATCCCGCTGGCGCCCGCGCGGACGAGAAGGAGTCAATCCGGTTGCTGCACAATGAGTCCCTGGTGGAAGGAGGGGCTTCGCGATTGCGCATGCGCCGAGAGAGGGCGCGCGCGCTCCCTCTCTCCCTCCTCCCGCGCGCGCGCGCGCGCACACGCTCCCTACTTCTCCCTCTCTCCCTCGGCCCCTCCTCCCTACGTCTCCCACTAGAGCTTCCTCCCTCTGACCAATGTGCAGGATCGGGTTCCTGGCTGCGGGGGAGGGGGGAAAGGGAAAGGAGGCGTTCCTCCGGTAAGTGCCCCCACTACACATGCGCAAGAGGAAACAAAGACCCAGGCCTGCCTTGTTATCGCCTGTTCGGAGTACGCAGGCGCGGGGCGCCGAGCGAGAGGGAAGTGGGAACGCCGCGCTTGCGCACAAACCTGCCGGGAGGGAGGGGAAAGCCTTTGGGAGCCTCGCAGTGCGCATGGCTAGGGGGGCGCGGCCTCCTGCCAAGGCGCTGAAGCCCCGGATGTCGCTGGAAGGCCGTTGACCCCGTGTGACCCCAGTTCTTCAATGTCACGCGAGTGGCGCGGTAGCCACCTCAAGGACAACGCCACCCCCTTCTTTGTATTTAGATTCGTAGTTATAATGTGTAATAGAGTACATTTTTAATATGAGTATGTGACAGTACAGATAATAAGATTAGATCTGTAATAATGGGGAAAACACATTTTTTGTTAGAGAATTATGGGGAAAACACAATGTTTGGTAGAGAATTTCAGTTGCTTCCGCCTCAGCTGCTTAAGCCCTGCTGTTTTGGACTTGGGCCCATCCAGGTGTTTTGGACTTCAACTCCCACAATTCCTAACAGCCTCAGGCCCTTTCCTTTCCTCCCTCAGCCACTTAATTATTTGATTTATTTATTTGGTAGTTTTGTATACCAGTCTTCTCACCTCCATTCAAGGGACTTGGGCCAGTTTCCAACATCAATATTACAGACCGTCATTAAAACATATTTCTAAATCACATTAAAACATTGAAACAATTAAAATGGCAAAAATACAATCCTATGATTACAGTGGTCAGTCGTCATCAAAGTCATTATTCGTTGTCATCCATCCATACGGCTCCGGCCCAGTGTATTTGTCCGAACGTATCTCCCGCTACATCCCACCTCGTAGCTTAAGATCTTCTGGGGAGGCGCTGCTCTCGACCCCGCCACTCTCACAAGTGAGGTTGGCGGGGACGAGGAGCAGGGCCTTCTCAGTGGTGGCCCCCCACCTGTGGAACTCACTCCCCGGGGAGATTAGATCGGCGACCTCCCTCCTGGCATTCAGGAAACAACTGAAGACCTGGGTCTGGGACCAAGCCTTTGGACACACTGGCAGCTAAATTAAGGATCTGATGACAGACAAGGACAAATGGAATGGAATGGATATATGGACTCTGAACCCGAGCATGAGATTGTTTTAATATTTTATTATGTACTGATGTTTTAATTTTAACTGCTGAATTGCTTTTTGTATTTTGTATTACTGTCAATTGATTTAGGCATTTAATTGTGCCTCCTCTGTAAGCCGCCCTGAGTCCCCCCGGGGTGAGAAGGGCGGGGTATAAGTAATTGAAATAAATAAATAAATAATCCATACTTGTCAGGATCATGGCTCATTCGTTGAATGCCAATCCCCAAAGCCAGGTTTTCACCTGTTTCCTGAACATTAAGATCGAAGGGGCAGTTCTGATCTCCAGTGGAAGGGAGTTCCAGAGTCGAGGGGCCACCACCGAGAAGGCCCTGTCTCTCGTCCCCACCAGCCGCGCCTGTGAGGCCGGTGGGATCGAGAGCAGGGCCCCTCCAGACGATCTTAGTAATCTTGATGGTTCATAGGGGAGATACGTTCGGACAGGTAAACTGGGCCGGAGTCGTTTAGGGCTTTATAGGTTAACACCAGCACTTTGAATTGTGCTCGGAAGCTGACTGGCAGCCAGTGGAGCTGGCGCAACAGAGGAGTAGTATGCTCCCTGTACCCCGCTCCCATTAGTAACCTGGCTGCTGCACGTTGGACTAATTGAAGCTTCCGGGCAGTCTTCAGAGGCAACCCCACGTAGAGAGCGTTGCAGTAATCTAAACGGGATGTAACCAAAGCGTGGACCACCGTGGCCAAGTCAGACTTCCCAAGGTACGGGCGCAGCTGGCGCACGAGTTTTAACTGTGAAAAACCTCCCCTGACCACCGCCGAAACCTGGGGCTCCAGGCTCAGCGATGAGTCCAGGATCACTCCCAAGCTGCGAACCTGCGCCTTCAGGGGGAGTGTGCCCCCGTCAAGCACAGGCTGTAACCCTATGCCCTGTTCGGCCTTTCGACTGACCAGGAGTACCTCTGTCTTGTCAGGATTAAGTTTCAATCTGTTGTTCCTCATCCAGTCCATTATAGCGACCAAGCACAGGTTCAGGACTTAAGCGGCTGAGGGGGAAAAGGAAGGGGCCTGAGGCTGGTAGGAATTGTGAGAGTTGAAGCCCAAAACACTACGAGGAAAGCTGAAGTTTGCCCATGATCCAGATTATCAAAGCAGATAATATTATTATTAAACTTTATTTATACCCCGCCACCATCTTCCCGAAGGGGACTCAGGGCAGCTAATATGAGGTCAAGCCCAGAATTACAGTACAATAAAATAAAATGCTAATAATAACAACAAAATTAAAAAACGGAAAATGATATAAACAGATGCAAAACACAGTGATGAAGAAATAAAATAAACGCACAGTGGGCGGGCTAAATGCACAGAATAAGATTGATAAAACCCTGGGAGAGATAAGTAAATGGAGAAATATTTATTATTTATTTATTTACTTTGCTTATATACCGCTGTATCTCAAGCCCGAAGGCGACTCACAGCGGTTCACAAACAGTAAAAAACAGTAGAAACAGCAGTGGTTCCATACAACATATAACAATTGACTTAACACATTATCCATAAATTACCAATAAGCAATTACAATGCACAATTATTACAAAAAACAACCGTACCCAATCTTCTCATCATCCAAGCGTAGTCCAGGTTCGTCGTCCATTGTTCCATTCCTATGTTCCATTACCAGATTGCACTAAATTACTCAAACGCCTGCACAAACATCCAGGTCTTCACCTTTTTGCGGAATACCATTAGAGATGGTGCTAGTCTAATGTCCGCAGGAAGGGCGTTCCACAGCCGAGGAGCCACCACCGAGAAGGCCCTATCTCTCGTCCCCGCCAGCCGAGCTTGAGAAGCAGGCGGGATCGAGAGCAGGGTCTCCCCGGAAGATCTCAAAGTCCTGGTGGGTTCATAGGCAGAGATGCGGTCAGATAGGTAGCTTGGGCCGGAACCATTTAGGGCTTTAAAGGCCAACACCAGCACTTTGAATTCAGCCCGAAAGTGGAAGGAGGAAGAGGGGCCGACCAAGGGCAAGATGGATGGATGGCATCCTTGAAGTGACTGGCTTGACTCTGAAGGAGCTGGGGGTGGTGACAGCCGATAGGGAGCTCTGGCGTGGGCTGGTCCATGAGGTAACGAAGAGTCGGAAGCGACTGAATGAATTAACAACATGTGTCTGTGGGGGAGCTCAGAAGGGGCGAACAGTGGGATTGAGCCTTCATTAAAGACAAGGGAAAGTGGGACGGAAATGATGGAAGAGCCAGGTTTTTAGATCTTTCTTAAAGGCTGCCAGGGTGGGGGGCTTGCCTAATCTCACTAGGTGGCGAATTTCAAAGCTGAGGGGCCACAATGGAGAAGGCTCTCTCCCGCGTCCCCACAAGCCGCACTTGTGATGGAGGTGGGAGCGAGAAGAGGGCCTCCCCCAAGGATTGAAGAGATCGCACAGGATTGTAAAAGGAAATGCGGTCATGAAGGTAGTTGGGTCCCAAATCAGGGCTTTGTAGGTGATGAATGGCAACCAATTCAGTTCCTTAAACTGGGGTAGACAGCTCCCTGTAATTCGCTCCTGATAGCAGTCTGGCTTCTAATCCACACTATCTGCTTTGAACTGGACTATATGGCAGTGCAGTCTAAGATAATCCACTCAAATCAGAGAATGTGGATTTTCTGCTTTGATAACGTGGATTAGAATGGGCATGAGAATTTGAATCCATTGCTGCATTGTAGTCTAGTCTCTGGAGCAGCAAAAACAAGTTTGCCCCTTTTCACATATTTATGCATGGCTTGGCTTGGCTTGTTTGTGCTGAAAATGAAGTTGACTTTGGGAGGCTTCCAAGATTTAAAATATTCAAAGGAAATAGTATTGGGTAAGTTTTGATTCTTAAGTTTTTGGTGTGGGCCATGCCTGCACGTCGGATATCACATCGTAAGTACGAATTTAACAAATTTGATACAACTTACAAAGACTAACAAAAAATTGCACACCCTTAATAGCTATCATGTCTTCTCTCAATTTTCTATTCTGAAGGCTAAATATATTCAGCTTTTTAAGCCGCTCCCCTTACAGCATGCTTTTTAGATCTCTTATCATTCTAGTCGCTCTTCTCAGGATTACTTGACCACATCCTTCTCTAATTGTGGTACCCAGAAAAGGACATAGTATTCCAGGTGAGGTGTGAACAAGGCAGAATAGAGCTATTACTTCCCTTGATCTAGTATACCTCTCTTGATGCAGCTTAGAATTTCATTCCAGGTAGATTCAGTCAAGGAAGTTACAGTCCTGCATTTGCAAGCCTGAAGCAGGATCACTGGTAAGGGTGACTTGGAGGTCTCTCATTGATAGGGTCACCGTAAATCAAAGTTGACTTAAGGCAGTTAACAACAACAAATTCTTCCCTGACAGGCGAATTCTTCTTCTTCTTCTTCCTCCTCCTCCCCCTCCTCCTCCTCCTCCTCCTCCTCCTCCTCCTCCTCCTCTTCTTCTTCTTCTTCTTTTCTTTTTTGTTTCTTTTATTTTCTAGGATATTTTATGATATATTTTAACAGAAAATTGCAATAAAGATTTTTTTTTTTTAAAAAAGATGTTTTTAATAGGAGGCTAGTGCTGCAATCCTATATGTATATAACATGTGAATAAACCTTACCCAAAACAAAAACTTATGTGTAAATAATATATATGTCTGGAAGAGGCTATGATTCTGACAGGT